ACGAATTCGTCTAGGAGCGGCAATTTGTCAACCTCACGTACCTCACGTACGCCAACCTGTGGCAGCAGCGTCGATGAGTTTGGACTCCACGCACTTTTATGTAATAAAAGTGCAGATAGGTTTTCCTGTCACGGTTCTTTGATCGAAGTCATCCGAAGGGCTCTAGTCTCCATAAATATTCCTTCGGGTTTAGAGCTTTTCGGGATATTTAGAGACGATGGCAAGAGACCCGACAGTATGACTTTGGTACCTTGGAAGAGAGGTAAAGCCTTATGGGATGCTATTTGAGTTGACACTTTGGCGGCCTCTCATCTCAAGAGTACCTCTTGTAGAGCCGGGGCGGCATCAGAGGCAGCTGAATTTAGTAAATGGCGCAAATATGAGTCTTTGAGAAATTACTACATATTCGTGCCATTTGCTGTAGAGACTATCGGTCCGTGGGGTTCATGTGCAGTGAAGTTCCTAAAGGAACTGTATCCACGACTGGTCGCTGCTGGTGATAAGAGGGCTGGTCCTTTTCTCGCTCAAAGGCTAAGTATAGCTATTTAACGAGGAAACGATATTGGCACGATATCAGCAGGACTTTATGACAACTTAAATTTTTAGTTTTAGTTTTTCTACATTAGTTTCTTTTTATATTGTGTGTAATAAATATTAATCGTAAATACTGTAACATAAATCGTATTAAAAACATTTAATTTAATAAAAATTCTCTTAATATCGAGTCTTCGCAAAATTTGACATTTATTGTCAAATCATACATAACATTTTAATTCGCAGTTCGCATATTTTTCACGGGACTTTAACTAGTTGAAGCCTGAGAGTAATTTTAAATAAAGTTTTTGTAATAAGATTGTTGAAATTCTTGTTTTTAAATAATTTTTCCTTATAAATTTAAAGACATTTAGGTAGCAGTAATAGACCGGACATCAGCAACAAAATTGCCGTCTGTAACTTTTGTCCTATAGGATATATCTCCGATTTTTGTCATTTAGTCTTAGTGACATCGTCAAAAGGTCAAGACGCATTCGTTTCATAAATTTAAAAAATATTTTTTAAAAAATATTTTTTAAGAAAATATGCCCGGTTGTGCATTAAGGTAGTGTAAGTCACGATATGGAGCAAAAAATGAACGTGATTTTGGTTTACTATCGTAAAAATAATGTGTTTACCAAATAATCTTTAAATTTTATTATTTATAGTAGATTGTCCCAGAACATTTATTTTTATTGTAATAAGCGCCCTCTGTTATCCAGTAACGTCACTATTTATTTGCCAATGTGTTAGTACCTGAAACGGATTTTTACCTTATATTTAGTAGCGTAACACCTAATGGGGAATAGCTAAAATGTTTTCCAAATAAATATTTAGCTTAGTATAGCTATGTTTCGCTAGAGGGCGTAACACACGTGCGAGCTACAGTGCGAGTACAGTTTTTGTATGCAAATGTTCCCAACGCCGCTCTATAGTATATATATATATTTAAATCTCTTTGGATATAAAGTAGTATAAGTCTATGCCTAGTCCATGATCTTGAGGTATTACCATCATAAATATCCCATAACTTTTCTGACACTAGGCTAATGTCATTTAGGAATGAGGTGAAAAATTTGACAGATTTCATGGCGTAGGAAGTTAATTTGTTAGAAACTGCTATCAGTGTTAATAATTCTTTCTGAAATATGTGTTATATTTTATATCAGTTAGATAAGGAACGGATAAACCAAACTACAAACATTCCTAAAAGTAGAAAAATAAATAAAACCGACCGGGAAAATAAGTGTGAATCGTACTCGCACATGCATGTTTCCGTACCATCGTACAAGGTTTAATACTATGTAGGTAAGTATTATGTGGGTAGAATATAGCAATACAAACTTTGTAAGCATTTCAAGCGTCTACTTGGTGCGATTATTAAAACCTAGCATAAAAACCCACAGAAAACAACACGTTTCTAGTAGGAGTTCCCCTTTAATTTTTATTATTTGTTGTTATAGTGGCAACAGAAATACACTTTCTGTGATGAAATACAGCCTGCTTACAAACACGGACGGACGGACGGACAGCGGAGCTTTAGCAATAGGTTCCCGTTTGTTACCCTTCGTCTACGGAACCCTATAGAGAGCTAAAAATATGCACAAGAATTAATATTCAAGAACTGAAGATAGCCGTGCTAACACTATGACATCGGGACGTCAAACACCTCAGTCCCCCCCCCATCCGCCTTAAGTAACCACGGTTTACATCACCCGACACGTCGGAATTAAAATGTTAAAATTAAACGCGATTAAAATCCGTAAAATTAATTTTATTCAATGTATTTACATACACTAGAAACCGATACACTTTTGTTAAATACAATGACATTGTGTAATAAAAATAAATCCACCTCAGTTCCAACTAGCGACACCTGGTGAGCGGAAGATATTATTTTTATAGAATAAGGGTGACAAGCGAGCACACAGTCCACCTGATGGTAATTAAATACTGCGACCTATATACATCTACATTTATCCTCGGTTAAGAATCAAAACGTAGATGAGTTCTCAGCCCTAAGTACTAAGATGGAATGCCTCGTTTCCAGTAAAAAAGGGTCTCCGGATCTCTACACTCACCATACGAAACACAGCAATATTAAGCTGCTATAATAATACGCTGGTATTCTGTGAGAGCGTGGTCCTTCCCCGGTCGAGCCGACCCATTCGTGCTACAACCGTAATATAGCTGCACTGTGGCTCTACCATGTATATTATTAGTCTTCATTTCAATTATATTAACTTATGTTACTAATAAAATTATTAGCCCTCATTACCTTTATATTAACTTATGTTACATATCCATAATATTGACTTAATTAGTACATTCTCTAAGTTATACATCAAAATATTGTTTCAGTTTGGTATTACCGTAGACTTATTATACTACTGCGTATAGACCGAGTTATTGAACAAACAAAATGGCACCGACTCCTTGGTGCGAAAATGTCTATGGAGCACCAATGCTGGCACCAATGCGTGCCGTGCGTCCGTGCAGTGTTTCCACTTATAAATATCTTGCACTAATTTTGGGTAAATCTACTAATATAGGTAGAGCTTTAGGCGTTTCTTTAAGTTGACAGTGTTTTGGATATATTGGGGTAAAATCGTACTTCAGGTAACCCTGTTTTTTATACCCACCCAATGTTTTTTTAAAGATTTATCGAAGGGGATAGGGTCAAAAGAGCTACAAAGGGTAGAATGAAAAAGTTTTTCATTTTGTATGTATGGTATAATGGTATAATATTTTACTTAGTTAGATAATATTCATTATTCGTATGACACTAAGTGTTATTATAATTTGAAAATGAGAACGTTTTCTCCATCACAAAACTCAAGATTTTTAATCGTAAAATGAATTTCAATTCTTGTAATGATGTTGTTCTTTAAAATATTGAAAATTAAATGCAATAAATAAGGCTATTTAGATTTTTTTTACGAACATTAAGGGAGTATTTCCACAGGTTCTAGGGTAAAACTAAAATCATAAGCGGAAACACTGATTCCGTGGTAGAACATGAGTATATAAGAAATGGCGCTGATTTATTCTATGCTTGAACCGTGAAACATTTTTAGTTCGCACGACCATATCCTGTCATTTATATCGATGGGTATTACCGACAAATTGTTAATACGTAACATAAGCACAGCCGTACGCAATACGTAAATACCGCGTTATTTTATCTATCTTCTAATGTTTTTTTTTTATTTTTTTTTATAAAATTGAATTAACTGACGAAGTTACAGTCTACCTGCCTAAGTGCCTACTGCAGCCAACTTCGAACAAAGGCTACAGATGCGTTATCACCTCTGAGGACTAAGATGGAATGTCTCACAGTGTGTAATTATTTTAGTTCTCTAAACCCTTCAGACACAGCAGTACGAGCACTGCTATTTGGTAGCTGAAATAGATATGAGGATGGTGGTGGGTGGTAGCTACCGAGATGGGCTTATAGACAGAAAAATAGTCGTATAACCTAGTTGTCATGTCAACTGCTTCGAATCGTAGTTATGCGTGTATTAAATCCAACACTAAAAAGGCACAAAATTACTAAAACTTTCTTTATCCTATGTATTATATCGGGTATTTTTGAAACGCTCCCGAAAATGAAGACAGACGATAGTATTACGGATACCTTTGATGATGAGATCAAAATAAAATCGATCCCGATGAAAAAAAAATCATTTTTTACGTTTAATTAGCTTTATTCACGCTCTATCATGTTAGTACAGCTAAATGAAACGATAATTTCATTAAAAAATCATGAAAATACTTAAACATAAAACCAGCAGTGAAACTCATACAGGTAAAGGATTAAAAAACGCGCGGACGCTGAACTCTTTTTATCGAGCTTGGTACGAAGCTCGGTACGGTAGAGCAAGCGTAAATACAGTAATACCTAATGTATTGTACATTAGGTATTACTGTATTTACGTTCACTCTACCCTTCCCTTTCACACATTGGTTGCAGCATTGCCAAACCGAAATTTACTTGCAAAAATTTGCAGGCGAAATAGGAATTAGAGGCGGCAATCACAATAAAACTTGGAATTTAATACACACATAACCCATACCATTTGAAGCAGTTGATATTAGTATCCTCCAGACCGACACGCGGCCAGACTCAACGGAGACTAGCCATCTATGCAGGACAGGATTATAGTGCCCGAGTGTATGCGCAAGCACAGGTGCACTCTCTATGGCCTCACTCTCATAGTCCGATGGAACAGCAAACCAACATGACCAAAGTGAGATTAGACGCAAGACAAACGGCTTTACGTGTATTCCAAGGCACGGGGGTGGAACACCGCTAACTTCCTGATTTCAAGATGCTACTGATAATGTCTGGACAGAAAAACCCGATAAGTGATTATGGCCCGATATTCGAACCCAGAACTTCAGGACCAGCAATCGCGACTCCTAGACCGACGAGGTAATTAACTTTTTTTTTATTACAACCAATATCATAAATCTTCTTTATTCAAATAATCCTCGAAACTCGTCTGGGTTTCCGCTGTATTGCAACCAAGTAACATATCCGTGTCTATATTGGAACCAAAATCAGCCGTCTGAGTCTCCGTCGAAGTCAAATTCATAACCGGACTCGAAGATACACTCTCGAAAAGTTTAAAATTGAACTTTGGCGAATCGTACAGGCAGAAACACGTTTGTGTTTCCTTTATGCTCAGATCTGGAGATTGCGTCTCGGATGTTATAGTTTCTTTGTTTGATCTACTCAGTCCGAACTCGACTGGAAACGTTTGGGTTTGGATATCTGATAGTGAAACATTTTCCGAGAAATATATAGACTCGTCTTCGCTTGCTTGCGATTTCAATGACAGCAAATCTTCGAAAACGGTTTGTGTCGATATTTCATCGGTTTTCGTTTCGTATCCATCACTCTTTTCAATCCACGATGGTAAGGTAATATCATTCTTTATATTTTCTTCAGCTTTCAAAGTCTGAGTCGCGAACGATCTCTTCGGACTATCGCAGATGTAAGATCTTTCAAACTCGACTCTAACTTTCTTCGCTTCTGACGCCATTTTCAATTTCCGCTTCTCCGCCTTCCTCTCGTTCTTGTATTGTTTGTGATATGACGGGTGATGTCTCATTAAATGAACCAGCAGTTTCTCATTCGTTGTGTAAACACGGTTGCAAACAAGGCACTCGTATGTATAATTACACGTCTTCAAATGTCTCGCGTAGGCCGATTCCGTGGTGAAGCTAAATTTGCATACGGCACAGCTGAATGCTTTACTTCGATGAACTTTGTTGTAGTGTTGATTGAGGAACTTTCTCCCGGAAAAATATTTACTCTTTCCGGAGTTTAAGTGGTAGGAGCACTCTTCGATGAAGCAATAATATTGTAGTTCTATAAGGAAATCGCTTTCAACTGCGTGTTTCTTTACCAAATGGTTCAGCAGCTCTGGTTTCTTCAGAAAACCTTCTGAACATTGATATGGGCAATGTAGAATAATTTTCGAGTTCATGTCCGGTGCTGTTATCATTACTACCAACTTTTTATCGTATAGAGTGCACAAAACATTATTCATTTGATCATTCTGCGACTCATTCGATTTTCCATTGACATTGTTTTTCTGTTCTAATATCGTACTGTTGTTCTGTAACAAATATTGTAATATATTATTATCAGTAAATAAACGTCGATAATATGGAACATTAAAAATGTATTCCCTCTTACCTATATCTGTCGCCTATCAGCAGTGTGTGCACTGCGTTCGGTCTATAGGGTATAGAGAGCCAGTATAATTACAAGCTATGAGGTTTTCTATCTTTCTTCGGAGTTGTTCCTCATAGGTGCAGTTCTTGCAATTCATGAAGTCGAGCTGAGCTTTACTTGTGGTAAACATATATATATATATATATATATATATATATATATATATATATATATCAAAGTGTGCGTGAGACCAAAAGCAGATATGGTTAGCGACGGCAAGCTCGCAAATAATTGCTCCATCGCACACTATCGCAATGCATGAACACGTTCAACTATGAGTAAAGCACACTCCACTTTGTAAATTCCAAAAACTATAACAACGCATCTGTAACTTTATTTGATTGACTGCAGGTGTCCATTGACTTCTATAGTCATTTACCATCAGGTGGACTGTAAGTTCGTTTATCCCTTAGGTTTTATAAAAAACAATACACTTGCTTGCTGTGTTGTGGCAGCTCCATTACTTCATATCATTGCATAGGTGTCGTAAGAGACGACAGAGGTAAATGAATGAGATGAGCAGCAGCATCTTCCCGATGATAACTAAAATAAATAATAATAAACTGCGGTTGCCAACCCACCTGCCAAGCGTGGCAACTCTGGCAAATATCCCCCTTATGACGTCATCATGAAAGCAATGTTAAGTAAAAATATACTAAGCCTTGGTTTGGCCGCTCCTGCAAAATTGCGTTTCAACAAAAGCAGGAGTGTTACATGGTCTGGGCATACGCATCGGCATCCCGGGATGCAAACACTAGCGCATTCAAAAGTAGTACAACTCTGCCTCTAGGTTCTTTTAAAGAGTTATCGCTGGGGCAAAGTCGGAGCACATTGAGAGAATAGGCGAGAAACTATTTCCCCATTCTATTCTCTTGCCAAGGTTGCCCAAGATAATTTATGTAAGCTATCATTATCATTTCTGTTCCGGGAGGATGACTCGCTTGCCCACACCGCAAAGGAGAAAGTCGATCTTTCAGATTCTCTTTTTACATCCAACTCGAAACCATGCGGAATCTATCGCCGACTTATGTTCAAAGCAGCATATTCAGTTCACACAGTATTCAGTGCGTATTCGTCCCTTGACGTCCATAAATAGAGTGGACCTGCTAATTGTGAATGCCAAATGTGGAATCAGCCCAATTTTGCTAAAGACGTGTGCTCCAGAATTAGCACCGGTTCTTAGATGTCTTTTCAGGTTCTTTTACTCTTTAGGCGTCGTTTCAAACTCATGGAAGACAACCTTATTGCACCTGTACCCCAAAAAAAGTAGACCGCTCGGACCCGGCCAACTACAAGCCTATCGCCATCACCTCCTTGTTCTCCAAAATAATAGACTCCATTATTAACTGCCAGATCGTGACATAACCTTGAAGAGTGTTAGATGATTAGTTACAACAATACAATACGGATGGGCGGAGGTAGTCGAGACCAAGTGGAAGGTTCTGGCGGTTAATTTGGACACAGAGACGCCCTTCGATTGGAATTGGCACAAAACACTTCCTTCAAAGCTTCCCTCTTATGGGTTTCTCGAGAAATTACGCAATTGGTTCACCAGTTTTCTCACAAATCGAAGTATTAAGGTTGTAGTCGACGGTGCATATTCCACTCCAAGTCTCAACTCAACTGAAGTACCACAAGGCTGCATGCTATCGACTACCCTGTTTCTTCTGCATATCAATAATATGTTGCGTAGCATTAACATTCATTGTTATGTAGGCGACAGACAGCACTGGCGATGCTTGATACACCGACCGAATATTTCTCGGGAACACATCGTCGAGAGAACAAACTAGTGTCTGAAATCGAGTCTTTCTAAAATCAGTGCAGTTTGACGCCCTAATGACACAGGTTTGCACATTTACCGCAAAAAAGTTTACCCCTTTGTCGTATCTCCTCAATTTAAGAGCACTCGTCTCGTTGCCTCAGCCAGCATCGAAATCCTTGTCGAGAATTTCGAGAGACGTAAAGTACCGTATTCAAGGGAGAGTGACTCGAAGCGTCGACGACCTGGTTCTTTCTGATATGCTTGATCCACTGGCCTTGCGAAGAGACGTTGCATCACTATGCAGCTTTCACCGCAAATACCGCGGGTAGTGCTCAGAGGAATTGTTTTGATTAATTCCAGCTGCTGAATACCACCATCTTACACTGCAATAGAACTAAAAATGCTATCCTCACCATCTCGATGGCTGGCACTATCCGATTTAAGCAGAATATTCTGTTCTGCCTCGCACGACCATACTGTCGAATTTACTTCCCCGTGCGCCCCTTTGTAACCATGCGCCCCTAGTAACATACCTGGTTTGCCTTTAGGATAATCCGCCACTGGTAACCATAATGACGATGATAGAATAGTAGTAGACCCTTACCTTCATATTGCTCCGGAGAATGATATCCGACTGCTGGCACTGAGAGCGAAACCTCCTACACTCCATTAACACATCCTCGCAAGTAACACATAGCAGATCAGACAATCTGTCCATTTCATTAACCTGAAAAATTACAAAACATTTACAAAGTATACTTTACCCAGGGCTGCCATCAATTACCGTTACAGCCTATTAAAGTCCACTGCTGAACATAGACCTCCGCCATACACTGCCTCACATGGGAAACATTTGCCGTAGTTGCCACGCTTGGAAAACGGGTTGGCAAATGCAGATTTTTATTTTTAGTCGTTTATAGGAAGACTCTGTTTCCCACCTACTGCTTTGTTTCCCTGTGTCGGCTCTTACGACACCAACTGAATAGTATGGAGTAGTGGATATTCTAACACCTCTCATTATTGATTATTCTTTATACGTGGTAGAGCCACGTTGCAGATATATTATGATTGTAGCACGAATGGGTCGCCTGAACCGGAGAAGGACCACTCTTGCTGAATACCAGCGTAAAATAGCAGCTTAATACTGCTGTGTTTTGTATGGTGAGTGTAGAGATCCGAAAACTTATTTTTACTGGAAACGAGGCATTCCATCTCAGTCTTCAGGGGTGACACCTTGTGGCTATGGGCTACAGCATCCACTTCCCATCAGGTGGACTGTGTGCTCGTTTGTCACTCTAATTCTATTAAAAAAAACGTCAATACACGGTTAAAAAAGAGAGATGAGAACTCTGGGCTCAGCAGTGATATTTATATAGGCTGTAACTATAACAACATTTGTTTAATTTTATTTTTAATACTAGCAACGCGCGCCGGCTTCGCCTGGATAAGATCTAATAATGTAGCATTAATTAGATTATAGATAATCAAAGAAATAAATAAAAAACAAAGAATTTATGGTGTGCCCTCCGTTCATAACTAGCCTCGTGCAGCCCAACCTCCACCACAGCGAAACTGCGTCAGCTCAATTACGGCTCAACGGACGGCCGTAGCCCTAATCCAAGAGTCATGGATTGGGGCTAGTAAAATCAAAGGCCTGACAACCTAAAAGGTCAGTTATTCTACAGCTCTGAGCACGACATGCCTAGAGCGTGTTTTTACACTACTAAAGATATCTGTACGCAACCATTAACAGATTTCTGTTCCATAGACATACAGGAGGGAAGAATACTCGTCGCCTTGGTCTAGATGCCGGAGGAACATACCTTCCCTTGTTGACCTCGTAAGGCTAGTGAATTTCTGCGAGAGAACTGGGCTAGAGGTTATGATCTGGACGGACTCTAACACGCATCATCACCTCTGGGGAATGGAAAAAACCAAAGAACAAGGTAAGGTGTCAATTGAATATATTTTTAGCACTAAACTAATCATTTTAAATACTGGTTTTGAACCAACCTTCATAAACAAATGTTGTCGAACAATAATCGACCTCACACTTGCAATAGAAGGAGCAGCTAAACTAATCACAAAGTGGCATGTGTCGAGAGAAGCTTCATGCTCAGACCATAAGCAGATCTGTTTCATACTACAGGTTGATGTCCCCACCACACCACTATAGAGAAACCCCTGCAAGACAAATATAATAATAAGCTGACGTCTTTTCTCGCGGGCTTTAAGGGGACACACTATAGCAGATCAATCACTCCTAGAAAAACAGGTAGCAGCTGTTACTAAAGCCATGATGGATAACTACCATTAATCATGTCCAGAAATCAATCCATCAAGGCATCCTGAGGAATGCAACCGTGGTGGGGTAAAAACTAGATAGAAAACGTAAGAAGGTAAGAAAGGCCCTTAGTAGGGCCATGAATACCTCAATGGACGTAGATTGGCTACTATTCAAGAAAGCTAAGTCTGAGTACAAAAAATGGATCAGGTATCGACGCTCGACAGGGTGGCGTAAATTGTGTGGTAACAAAGAAACCTGTGCGCAAGTAAATCGGTTAAGAAAAATCCTAGCTAAACAAAACACGCCGGGATCCAATACTCTAAGGAAACCCGACGAAAGCTACTCAACATCACCGGATAAAACCCAATGCATCCTAACTGAAATGCACTTCATGCACTCAGAGGGTATGCCAGCATGATGATATACTGACTTCAACAGCAGAAGACTGAAATTCACAGAATAAGAGCATGTCTGAGCGCTCAGACGTAGAGTTGCGGAAAGCAGCCCGTCGTAAACTAAACTAAACTATTCCTGCTAACACGCAAAATACGCGCTTGGACGTGGAGTTGCAGAAAACTGCCCATCGTAAACTAAGCTAAACTGAACTATTCCTGCTAACACGCACAATACGCTCTTGGACATGGAGTTGCACAAAACAGGCTGTCTTTATCTTATCTATTTAATCAAAGAAAAATGTTTGTTTTTTTAGTCTTCAGTTTTTTAGGAATATATATAGCCTCTTTCCCTCCTGGCATTGCTCCTCTGTTCGTAAAATTGCATCACAATTGGTTCAGACATTCCAAAGATTAGCTCGTACAGACAGACAGACGGACAAATATTTTAAAAATGTTTTAATTTTCGTAGAACAGGGGGGCAAACGAGCTTCCTGCTCACCTAATGTTAAGCCACTACCGCCGTGCATGAACAAATGCAACACCAGGGGAATTGCAGGTGCGTTGCCTGCCTTTTTTGATGTCTTAATAGCATACAAATAACCTCCTGAGCTTAATGGAAAGAAATAAAGAAAATGTTTATTTCGCCACATAGGCACAACGCCATGTTGTACATATTTGTGTTATTTCGAAGCTTTGATAATTGAAGCCACTTATTTCAATATTGCAAACACTTTAATTATATTAATATGTGTTTTGTACATAAAGCTGCTGTGTTAATATTTATACTACTATTGATAGATATTAGATATTAATAATAGGTGTGTGAGCGATTTTAGTGTTCATGCTTTGTAAAGACTTTTCAAATTAACCATAAATACATTTTATTTCTGACGACTTCTAACAAATATATAAAAATCGAAAATTAAAAAAATAAAAATAAAACACATGTATATAAAGTTGATGGCTAGTTTATTTTACAGAATACGATAAGAACTAAGAGTAAAATAAAATGTTATATAAACAGGTATATATCGTCTTCTCGCATTAAAACTATATAATCTCAAAACTTAATAATTTTACAGGAGAGCGTTTTAAAAGTTTAACGTGTAATATTTTTATTAATAATGATATTTTTTAAAATATTACACGTTAGACTTTTTTATTTATTTTTTATATTTTGTTAGTTACATTATCTGTCTTTCAAAGTAAGATAAAATTATATATTAATGTTGTTATATAGTAGCCGAAATGTAGGTCAGAAAAATAATCGTTTTGAGTTTTAATACTTTTCTCGATAAAACGTTGCTTAATTTTTACAATTTAATTTGAACATAAATAATTAATTTAATAAATACGATTTAAACTATTTTTATATATTATTATTATTAATAATAATAATAAAAACTATTTTTCGCAGTAAAACAACAATTTTTTATGAAATATTTATTTCTTTCAGTACATTTATGAAACTGTTAAACTAAATATGGACTAAAACTTATACAACTAAAACAAAATGGCTCAAAATAAGGTAATTATAAAATGAAATTATGTGATTGGTTAAATCACGTTAATCACTGAGTAACATGGCACTAAGTTAGGAACGTGTCAACTAAGGTATTTCAGTCTTACTGATTAATATTTAAGTTTATGATGTAGATATAAAAGTACTATTTTTTAATTGTTAGGAACTTATCTTTATTATTTGTACGTACTAATAGTTAATATAAAATATTAAAGCTTTAAGCAATAATTTTAAAAATGCAATTTAAAAAAATACAAGTAAATCTATTGAATTTGTATTCCTGTACAATTATCGCTGTAAAAAATTATATCAACATCTTCATTTATTCTGGCACACAAAGATACAATATAATTATAAACACATGTTGCTATTTCATTTGCGCCTCTATTACTTTGCTGTTCGTGCCAAAAGTAACATTCTACATCTTTTGTTTTCAAGTCGTAGATGGTAAAGTTCTAAGTATTTAATTTTGATACATAAACACTCACGCCTGTCACCCAGAGGGGTCGGCAGAGACTACAGACTTCCATTTAGCACGATCCTGACATACCTCTCTCGCCTCTTCCACATCCATATTACCTACGCATACATGCACGTCAGTTAAGGGTACTCTTAATTTGGCCCATTTTTAGTATATCGCCAATTTGGTCGACAAACTTCCGCCTAGGACGTCCCTTTCCGACTCTTCCATTCACTTCTACAAGATATATTTGCTTTGTCAGTCTTTCCGCATTCATTCTTTCTACATGACCAAACCACCGAAGCATTCCTTTCTTAATCCTGGTCACTGCATCATCTTGCAAACCACACTCTTCTTTTATCACACAGTTTCTCACCCTGTCACTTAGATTCAGCCCTAACATACTCCTAAGCGACCGCATTTCTACTGCATTTATTCCACTCTCGTGCTTCTTCTGCCACACTCAACTTTCACTACCACACGTTAAAGTAGGGACTAATACAGCATTGTGAATTGCCATACGTGCCTTTTTTGACACATTCTGACTTTTCACAATAGAGTGTAGAGCCCGATTTACTTTATTTCCTGCATTCACTCGTCGTTCAATATCCTTATCATATCTCCCATCCCTGCTGAATACACATCCCAAATATACGAACTCATCCACTTGCTCAATTAACTCTCCTTCTATTCTTATTTCACATACCGTTTTGCTTTCTTCTCTTTCAAAAACCATCACTTTCGTCTTACTTGCGTTCACTTTCATTCCCCTTTCTTTTAATGACCTGTTCATTAATGTAACCATCATTTGCAAATAGGCCGCCGACGACGCAAGTATGACTTGATCATCGGCGTACAAAAGGCATTTGATGGTTAACTCACCCATTTTTAACCCGCATTCTTCAACTTTCAAATTTTCCAAACAACTGTCCGTAAATAGGTTGAACAGCCACGGGGAAGCTACACAGCCCTGTCTGACACCTTTATGGATGCCAAACCAGTACGAGTAGACCCCCTTGATTCTAACACAAGCACTCGAGTCCCTATACAGAGACTTTAATGCCTGTATTAAATCAGCGCTCAATCTAAATGCGTTCAGCGTTTACCATAACGCATCTCTGTCCACTCTGTCATAAGGCTTTTCCAAGTCCATGAACGCACAAAAAACTTTTTGGTTTTTCGCCAAAAACTTCTCCGCGATCGTGCGCATGGAAAAGACTTGATCTGTACACCGAATTCCCTTTCTAAATCCCGCTTGCACATCCGAAATTTTTTCATCAGTTTCTTTCATAACTCTTTCAATTAGTACCTTAGCATACAGTTCTCCTACAATGCTAAGAAGGCTGATACCACGGTAGTTTTTACAGTTCTGCTGTGACCCTTTTCCCTTATATATTGGGACTATCACGGCTTTGCACCAGTCTCCCGGTACCCGCTTTAGTTCCCAACATAAATTAAACAAGGTGTACAGCAGGCCTGCCACCACGTCCTCTCCAGCCCTTAGCACTTCGAGTGAAACTCTATCATATCCGGCTGCCTTACCTACTTTCATGCTTTTCATTGCTTTCATTATTTCATCTATACTTATCTCCCTATCTCTTTCATCTTCTTTCGGAATTTCTATTTCATTTAGTTCACACGTCTCCTCACTCATAAATACGCTTTCAAAATATTCCTTCCATCTCTTTAGACTCAACACTTCATCATTCAGAATACAGCCATTCTCGTCTCGTATCGCATTCAATCTAGGCTGCTTTGAATGTCCCCTGGTATTTTTACGAGTTTCCAGAACATTTTAATATTTGCCTGGAAGTTATCCGATATTCTTCTATCATTTTTATCCGTTCTTTCTTGCTTTTTCCTTTCAACTAATTCTTTTACTCTCTTATTTAGACGTTTAAACGCTGCCTTTTTTCTTTCAATCTCATCATTCTTACCGCCAGAATTACCAGCTTTGGTCGCTAGTAAATTCTTTGCTTCAACTTCCATACGTACCTCATCATCCCACCATAAGGTATTATCTTTCCTTTCATTCGTTCTCTTACTAACACCACATACTTCGGTAGCTGCATCCACTAAACCTTTCTTAACATTATGTCCAAGTCTAACTCATTCACACACAACTCATCCAAATACTTATATTTTCTCTCAGTCTACATTTGTACTTGTCTTTCACATCTTCATCTTGTAACCTCTCAATTCTTATACGCTGTAACGCAGTGGTAGACACAGATGTCCGATGCCGCCAACGTCTGAATAAACCCCTAATTCGGCATAAGACCAGGTAGTGGTCCGTCCCTACGTTGGACCCCCGGTAAACCCTTGTATCCACCACTACGCTCCTCATTCTTTCATCCACAGTTATGAAATCTATCATGCTTCTATCATCACCTCTTTCCCAAGTATACATGTGAATCTTCTTATGACGAAAGAAAGTGTTCGTCACAAAAAGATTCCTTTCCACACATACGGTGAGGAGGCTTTCACCATTCTCATTAATACTTTGATCACCAAATGTTCCCAGTATCCTTTCATAGCCAAGCCTCCTCACCCCAACCCTTCCATTAAAATCTTCTAACGTAACAATATTTTCATTTTCCTTACATTTCATTAACACCATCCTTACCATCTCCAAAAACTGCTCTCGGATATAAGTGGGCTTAGACACGTCTGGGGCGTAGACCCCTAGAACAAAAAACTTCATTAGGCCCACATTCATACTCTTTCACACATTGACCCATTCTTTCTGAAAGGATGATACCGACTCCCTGGCATGCTCGCTCGGTCTCGTCTACACCGGACCAGTACGCGGTATATATGCCATGTGTAGTGACACCCTTTCCCTTCCGCTTCGTCTCATTTACACATAATACATCTATTCCTCTATCATACATCATATCGCATACTTCATCCATCTTATCATTCATTGCTCCACATACATTCAGCGTCGCTAGACGGGCCTCCGCAATCCTCTTTTCGCCCCTCCGGGAGACAGAACGTGACGGGTGGCGAACCTCGTCGCCGGTTTTCCTCCCGGAGATTCTTCGCACCCCTGCCCCATTAAAGGGGCGCCGGGAACTCGGGGCCATTTCTTTTCTTCTTTGCCGCTTGGTGCGAAAACAAGGGGGTGGTATATTTTACGCCGCTACCACACGGCAAGTAGCCGAGTCTGTTCTTTCGGCTTTGTCGCTCTTTTAGCACCACCCGGGGGAAACGTGTAGGGTGGGCCTAGGATTAGGTGGTAGAAGCCTACGGACGCGAGCGACTTATCCCCCTCATCCTCATCCCTCACCTATCATTTTAATTTTGATACGTAATAAAATGTTGATATTTCGCCTTTGGGACATGACAACGCCTCTTGTAAGTCATAAACCGCAACAATTAACGACGATTTACTTTGGGCATCTGTTTTATCGTTCCCTTTTTCTATTCGTGACAATTTTTTTTTCCATCAGGTGGTTTTCATAACGATATTTCATTTCTTCCTTCTCGGAGTCTAATGCATTAACATAGGCAGTACAAACTTCACAAGCATCTTTCTTCGGAGTGAAAAAACTAATATTAAACTCTGTGTTAAAAATTCTATGAAACATTACGTAGTTAATATACCTCTCTCTCTTTTCTGTACACAATTGAACATAATCCTTGTAAATATCAGTCAAATTTCTGCCTCCATCAATATACTCTCGACTTGTATTAGCACGAACATAGTGACTTTCTATTTTTGGTATGTTCCTAATAAATTCTCTAGCGCTGTCTTTTAGTGATTCCTCAACCCGGTGATGATGTTCGTGTTTGCCTCTTCGGTCATCGAGTATTGGAACCGGATCGTCATTTTTAAACATCCTATCTCGCACTGTTCGAACTATTGAAAGGAAATATCAAGCGTGTTTAAGAAAAACTTTTGACAAACACGAATTTTTGATTTTTGCTATCATTCAAGAAAAATTTTAAATTATTTTTGCGTGGTCTATTGCCAGATTTATATACATATTTAGGCTTAATCTCCTCAATACTATTGGCAATAAAATGACGTTTATATAGTGCATCTGGTAAAGCATAATATGCATCAAAAATGTTTTGCCTATGTTCCTCCAAAATGATAGTAGAACATTTCTGTCTGCATTTCTCTCCACAAGGAGGCTTAATAGCTTTTTCACTCACAATTTTATTTTTAGTAGAGTAGCTTTTACCTGCATGCCTCAATTGTTTTAATTCATTTGTTTTCCATTTTTTTGGGTTCTCTAGACGTTTACGTGTGTTCTTTTTCGGTGAAACTTGCTCTGTCTGTGATTCAACTGTTTGGATCAATTGAACCGATGGATTTTCAGCTTGGGATGGCTCAAAATCAGAATCATTGTGATTAATTAAAATCTTTACTTATATTGAAATTTGGATCAGCTACGCTGTCATCAGAAGAATAATCTTTTCCAGAAGAAGACGAGCTAGATGAAGAACTTGTGGAATCAGAGTCACTGCTATCTGATGAATCTAAAATAAAATGTCTGATTTAGATACACTTGGTTCTCCTACAAAAACGAAAAAAAATTGATAGAAATTTTACTAATTTTCTGAAGTTGCTGCATATCTGAAGTGTTAATTTCTTGTACAATACATCATTGTTGTGAATCTGAATTTTCATTCGTTTCCTGTATACCTTCCAGAGGATTTTCGGTCTGTTTCTGTAAATCGTCCTGTAAACCTCAAACATATTAAGTGAAATAAGCACCTAAATAAAATAAAATCTTGTTAACATCCACTTAGTTATTATAAACATACCTAAATTTTGACTAATTACATATTGTGAGTTATTTTCATGTAGTATTTTCATCGATTTCACTTCAGAATCAGCAATAGGCGGATAATTTACTTCTTTCCGATTAATTATAATTTTTTTCAAGCTCTCTAAAAATTTACTTCTTTGTGCCATTTCAAAAGCATTTAATTTAATCTGAATAAACAAAGAAAATATTTTAAAACATACAATTAGGGCTGGCACTGTAACTCGTTTTGTATACAAGGAAATGCGTTGCAAAGCGAGATAGCAGCTACGGCTAGCCGCGGCGGCAAGCCGTTGCTCGCCCCCGACCGTCCGTTGCAGTGCCAGCTATTTAAACATAACCAAATGAGCTGAAACAAGTCACTATGTGTTTCAGAATCACAGTGATATTTACTGCCAATATTAACGAAAATCAAAATAATATTACATTTATTAATTAAAAAGCAAACATTTACGGGATTAAATTATTTCTGATGTCAGATTTATGATAAAAAGTAGACAATTTTAAATTAAAACATAACTTTTCACAAAAAAATATCTGAAATAATATACAATTTAAAATAAACAGTTTCAATGAAAAAGATCGGGATAGTATTATTCATATTTTATCACAAAAACTGTACAATTACAAAGTTATACAATTTTAAAGGTAGAATTGATTCAAACTTTGCTACACATTTATAGTGATAAGTGTATAATTTTAAGATTGTATAATACAAATAAAATAAAATGCTTACCCTGGGGTCAAATTTTCGTTTTTGTACACTTTTGAAGAGACACAATGCATGCACTACTCGAATGGTTGAATGTAACTAAAACTTATGTTGTATTCGTGCGAAACAAGTTCTCACTTCGGTCAATTTAAAACTAACCAATGCGCTATCTAGCGAGTGTTTGTTGAACTACGCTCTTTTGAGAAAAATACTGATGTTACCAAACGTTTTCGTATATTAACTCAATTTCGAATATTTTTGGAGATTGTATACTTTTAATGCGAAGAGGCGATATTAGAATATCTGCCCCGTGTGACACCTTAGAATGCAATGAATGCAAATGCAAAAAATGCAAAGAATGCATCTCCCCTTTGTAGATTTCATTAATATTTCATATAAAATAACAGAAACACTGTCACCTTAAAAGATATTTTTAAAGATATATAAAATATATACATACCTGTATGTCACTAAACTTATAAAAATCTTCTATCAGGCCATGTTGAACCATATTTTTCATTTCGCCACAATCGGTAAGACATCCACGACAAAGCGAAGATAACTCTTTTAGTTTACTGTTACACGTGTTCATTGCTGGCTCTAGTATCCTAGTTATTAGTAGAGAGCATAATATTATCACTATAATACGTTTAGTTATTATTAGTAAAATAAAATCTAATTACACATATTCTTCCTTGCCGAAATGAACATTTATCAAACCGCATTTAAGCATTAAATACGTTTAAAATACCAATACCAATAATCCAAATATATTATTCTATTCTTTGGAGTAAAAAAATCAAACTAATATAATAAACACAATCACATACCAAAAAATAAACAAATATTGGTAAATGATAAATGTAAGTGATGACATTGACATTTGGATTTTCAGATTTTCAGTTTATACAAAGGTACTCTGTGATTTGGATTTCGGTTTTACCGGTTTACACAAAGGTACTCTGTGGATTTCGTTTTTCGAAAATATTAAATATTATGATATGATATGATAATATTATATGTTTTTATCGATATGATATTATTGTATTTTTTTGTCGATAAAAATATTGTGTACTGTACTAAAATAAATACAAAACAATAAACTATGATATATACAGATATATACATATATACATAATATAGGTAAGTTAAAAAAACTATATTAAGAAATTGAAACAATAATATAACCAAATACTTATAAAATCTGCCACCGTCAACCCGCCTGCCAAACGTATGGCGGAATAGAGGTGAGCGATGAAAGCCGTATACTGATACGAAATTTGTATATTTGTATAATATCTAAAATCCGCTTACTGACGTTTCGTTTCAAAATTATGTATTATAAAACTGATATTTGCGTACCTCCGCGGTGCCTATATCACTTCGCATCGGTCGGTGGCTAGATTTGCTAGAGCGCGAGCGATATGGGTATTAGATTAGACATGGCGGAAAATGAGTCTAACTAAAATCTTATATGTACACTAGACTAACCCGTCAAGTTCTGTCTCCCGGAGGGGCAATAAAAAGAGGATTGTGGAACTCGTCTGGCTACACTGAATGTATGTGGAGCAATTAATGATAAGATGGATGAAACATGCGATATGATGAATGATAGAGGAATAGATGTGTTATGTGTTTATGTGTTTTTCTAGCAACCAAGGCTGGTAATTCTGGCAGTACAAATGATGATATTAAAAGAAAAAAGGCAGTCTTTAGACGTCTAAATAAGAGAGTAAAAGAGGTAGTTGAAAGAAAAAGCAAGAAAGAACCGATAAGAATGATAGAAGAATATCGGATAACTTCCGGGCAAATATTTAAATGTTTTGGAAACTCGTAAGAACTGCTAGGGCAAAACAGCCTGGATTGAATGCTATACGAGACGAGAATGGCTGTATTCTGAATGATTAAGTTTTGAGTTTAAAGAGATGTAATTAATATTTTGAAAGCGAGTTTATGAGTGTGGAGACGACGTATGAACTAAATGAAATAGAAACTCCGAAAGAAACGGAAATATGTAGTAAGTAAGTATAGATGAAATAATGAAAGTAATGAAAAGCGTGAAAGTAGGTAACACAGCCGGATATCTTAGAGTTTCACTCGAAATACTAAAGGCTGGAGAGGAAGTGGTTGCAGGCCTGCTGCACACCTTGTTTAATTTATGCTGGGGACAAGCGGATACCTGTAGACTGGTACAAAGCCGTGATAGTCCCAGTATATAAAGGAAAAGGGTCGCAGCAGGACTGTAAAAACTACCGTGGTATCAGCCTTCTTAGCATTGTGGGAAAACTTTATGCTAAGGTACTAATTGAAAGAGTCATGGAAGAAACTGATGGAAAAATTTGGGATGTTCAAGTGGGATTTAGAAAGGGAGTGGGGTGTACAGATCAAGTCTTTTCCATGCTCATGATCGCGGAGAAGTTTTTGGCCAAAAACTAAAAGGTTTTTCGTTCATAGACTTGGAAAAGGCCTATGACATAGTGAACAGGGATGTGCTATGGCAAACGCTGAACTCATTTAGGTTGAGCGTTGTGTTGATACAGGCATTAAAGTCTCTTTATATGGACTGTAGTACTTGTGTTAGGATCAACGAAGGCTACTCCGACTGGTTTGGCATCCATAAAGGTGTCAGACAGGACTGTGTGGCTTCTCCGTGGCTGTTCAACCTATTAATGGACAGTTGTTTGGAAAATTTGAAAACTAAAGAATGCGGGTTAAGAATGCATGAGGAAACCGTCAAATGCGTTTTGTAAACCGATGATCAAGTTATATTTGCGTCGTCGGCGGCCGAGGTGCAAATGGTGGTTACATTAATGAACATGTCGTTAAAAGAAAGGGGAATGAAAGTGAACGCAAGTAAGACGAAAGTTATGGTTTTTGAAAGGGAAGAAAGCAAATCGATATGTGAAATAAGAATAGAAGGAGAGTTGTTTGAGCAAGTAGATGAGTTTGTATATTGGGATGCATATTTAGTAGGGATGGGAGATATGATAATGATATAGAACGACGAGTTAACGTAGGAAATAGCAAGCAAGTGGATGAGTTTGTGTATTTGGGATGTGTATTTAGCAGGGATAGTAGATATGATAGGGATATAGAACGACGAGTAAATGCAGGGAATAGAGTGAATGGGGCTCTACACTCTATTGTGAAAAGTCAGAATGTGTCAAAAAAGGTACGTATGCCAATTCACAATGCTGTGTTAGTCCCTACTTTAACGTGTGGTAGTGAAAGTTGGATGTGGCAGAAGAAGCACGAGAGTAGAGTAAACGCAGTAGAAAGGCGGTCGTTAAGGAGTATGTTAGGACCGAATCTGAGTGACAGGGTGAGAAATTGTGTAATAAGAGAAGAGTGTGGTATGCAAAATGATGTTCTGACGAGGATTAAGAAAGAAATGCTTCGGTGGTTTGGTCATGTAGAAAGAATGAATGAGGAAAGAGTGACAAAGCAAATTTATGTTGCAAAAGTGAACGGCAGAGTCGGTAAGAGACGCTCTAGGCAAAAGTTTGTCGACCAAATTGGCAATTTATTGAAAGGGGCCAAATTAAGAGTACCCTTAACCGACGAGCATATATGCGTAGGTATATAGAGGTGTGTCAGGATCGTACCAAATGGAAGTCTGTAGTCTCTACCTACCCCTCTGGGTGACAGGCGTGAGTGCTTATGTATATATGTATGTATGTACACTAAATACTAAAAAAATACAAATTCACTAAATCTTAATTAACTTCCCTAGTTTTTTCAAACTTTTTATATAAATCCCTTGGAATATTTTGATGAATATGTAGACCTAACAAAATAATATTAAACTGACGCGCTACGTTTAAATTACTACCAATCAATATTTGAGCGAAAATCGTAACAACAAAGTACATAAAATTAAAATCAACCACTAATGAATTCAGTCAATAGCGTTACATTACGTGCTAAAAATATCATTTTGTACGGTTTAATAAAAATAACACTTCAAAAGAGTTAATGGCAAACGACTTATTTCATATAATAATTTAATTAACGATTTATTCAATACGATAATTTTCAACCAGAAGTTCAGCATAAGATATTTATTATAAGTTTATATGTTTAACTTTAAGTACCTATACTAAATAATATTATTTATATAAAATATAATTTGTAACAATCCTTTTTTTAGACATGCGAAGCCTAAATTTTAATGTAATAAATGTTTAAATAAATATTATCTTTGTAAACCGCCATCTACTCCATTTTATGGGTAAAGTCATTTCATCGATTGAAAATTGATTGACTCTCATAGTGGTACGTAAAGAAAGCGCTAGATGGCATAAGTACGGCTAGGTAAGACGTAGACAGAGAATCCAATGAAATTGGATTCTATGTCTGTACACAATAATAATAACTAGTAAATTCATTATTAAAGTGAATCTTCTTCCTTATGTTACTCCTTAAAAGTAGTCTATGTTACTCCTTATCCCATCCTATTAGTCCTTATACGTACGTTTGCACTGAGAAACATCTAACACTTATTGTTTTGAAACAAATCGCATAAAATAAATCACACAACATATTTTGTTGATGGTGGCGTTAGCACTCGCAAAAATTGTGTAAAATTTTCAGTAGATATTGAAACTTATCTTTCAACATGACAATATTTCTACAAATTTGTTTTCAAGCATTTTTTTTTTGCGCCCGAAGCAATTAAAGGGCTATCCTATACGTAGGGAGGCGGAAAATGCATTACGCATACCACGATAGCCGGTCTATCGTGGTTATGAGGGACTCACATCCTACCGGGGACCCTAAGTGATACCCTCTAAAAACCGCCTTTGGGGACAGGCAACCGGCTGATTAAGCTTTATTGTGCTTTTCAAGCATTTTGTTTCTGTAGTTATATAGATACAATATAGTATGTACAATACACTGTCAAACATATTTAAGCACAACATGTTGTTTGACTATGTAAACGCTTTTTGATACACTGACGGAAAACAGTGTTTAAAACATGTTTTTGTGAAAATCGCGTCAGTGCAAACTCCCGGCAACATTAGCTATATGCCGTTGAAAGTCTCGTCAAAATCGGCTCAGCCATTTTAATAGCATAGGGTGACAAAGGAGCTGACAGTCCACCTGATGGTAAGTGGTTGCTGTAGCCCATAGACATCTATCCTCTATTACGAATCAAAATGCAGATGCAGTGTCACCCGTGAGGACTAAGATGAAATGCCTGGTTTCCAATAAAAATGGTCTCCAGTTCTCTACACTCACCATGCGAAACACAGCAGCATTAAGCTGCTATATTACACTGGTATTCTGTGAGAGCGTGGTCCTCCCTGGTCGAGCCTACCCGTTCGTGCAACAACTATACTACTTATATAACTGCAGCATGGCTCTACCACGTATAAACAACACTTTATAAACATTTTGGAGATTAGTCGGAACAAACAGACAGAATTTTTAAATAATAAATAATTTTTTGTTAAAAGTACTTTCATAGTACGCATTAGTAAAAAGGTGTTATTTTGTCGGTACAAACAGACACTTTTTTTATTGTAGGTATAGTTTCATTGATAAATTTATAATTCGAAATATGTTCAACAAGTGTATAAAGTAAGTAAT